TTCAGGGTGGCTGTGCCAGTTTGCACTCCCACCTGCAAAGGAGGAGTGTTCCCTTTACCCCACTGCTTCTCCAGAATAAGTTGTCATCAGTGTTTTTGATCTTGGCCATTCTTACAAGTGTAAAATGAAATCTCAGAGTTTCTTTTGATTTACATTTCTCTGATGGCATGAGCAACCTTTACTAAGGCAAGGTGAAAAAAAACCCTTGCATTGGATTATGGAAAAGACCCGACCCTGTATTAATATGGGATCAAGGATATGTTTGTGATTTTTTTACAGGAAGAAAATGAAGCTGGATGAGATAACTTTTACAGCAGAGGAGTACCAGCCTTGATGACATCACAGCTACTGATGACAGCATAGGAGAAGTGGAAAGAGGTTCCTGAATGCATGATCCTGATTTCCTCATACCATCATGCTGCAGGCTAAGAAAAGGGAGTACCTGAACCAAAGATCCTGACTGACAACAATTTGCTGAAGTCTGACAAAGAAAAGAAGATCGTGTTGACTACTGGTAATTTCCAGCCTCTTGATGGAATTGCTATGCAGAGTTCCAGACCTAGTGAGTCATGGTTACCTTGGAGCTGGACCAGAAATGCAGACTGAATATTTGAGTGTTTTACTCTTTGGGAAACAAAACTCATTTTGACAGTATGGTATTCAATTTGCTGTTGAAATATAGGATGTGAGAACTGAGACCTAAACTTTCCCCTCAGGGGAAAAAGGACTCATTACAAGGAGTGTGAAGCCTATCTTCAAATATGAGGAGAGTAGCCTAAGGGTTTTGCTGCTCTCAGAAACCGAGACAATTTCTTAAAAACAACAATGTAACCCATCAGAAAAACCTTTTTCTTGTCTTCTGATTAGAATGGATATAAGAGAATTGTGATATGTCAAATTGTGATATTATTAATTTCCATTCTAGAATTAGGTAATTGACCTGGTAATGTTTGTAACTGCTGTATTTTACTATAAGATGTTAACTAAGTTTGACATTTCCTACGAGTACTTAGATTTAACATATTTGGTAAGAAATTTAGATTTTGATACAGTTTAAAATTGTTAAGTGGCTCTGTAGACCAACTGAAAAGGGCATTTCCAACCCTGGGGATCCTCACTTCTTTAATTAGGAGCCTGTAGCCATTAGGAGCATGATCATTCACAAAACATTATCTAATTTCAGATGAACTCTCTTGACAAAAAAAAAAAATTGGCTCAGAGACACAGAGTACAGAAGTATTTTTCTCCCTTAATCCTTTGTTTACAGAGGTTGACAGTCATTGATGGGTTTGATCCTTTTTCCTCCCAGTCTCCTAAGACAGGAACTTGTATGATTAAAATAGAGGTACCGAAGATGGGTAAGTCTGGGAAAGAGAAAAGTGTTCAGATAAGGCAGATGTGATCATCTGTCTTGTTGTAGAAGCACACGCTTTATTAAAATTAATAAAACGGGAGGAACTATAGAAGCCCGAAAAATGCGGGCCCATTTCCACCTTGTCTGCAGGTGAGTATTTAGAGACTGACAGGCATAGTTGCATGTCCTAACTCAGGAGGTGACTGCTTGGTTCTCTTGAAATTAAAATAGCTCAATGCCATCCTGACAGGTGGTCAGGATATGTAAATGTACTTCTGCTCCTACTTTTGTAACTATGAGGTTACCTAGGAAGGGTGGCCTTCAGCATATGTGACCTAGAGCACCTTAGCTACCTAGGTAACAGAATGCTAATGATGCCACAGAGTGATAAAGCTCTGTGTATATGGTGTGTTACATTTACTGATTTTCATATATTGAACCATCCCTGGGTTGAAGTCTCCTTGATCATTTGGATAATCTTTTTGATGTCTTCTTGGATTTGGTTTGCCAGTATTTTATTGAGTATCTTTGCATCTATGTTCATAAGGGAAATTGGTCTGTAAATCTTTTTCTTGGTTGGGACTTTATGTGGTGTGGACTCAATGGTAACTGGGATCTCGTAAAATGAGTTGGGCAAGGGGTGTAGGAGGTCCTTCTTTCTATGTGTTGCTTGTATTAGTTAATGAATAAAGAAACTGTCTTGGCCTGATAGGGGCAGAACTTAGGTAGGCAAAGAAGACAGAACCGAATTCTGGGAGGAAGAAAAGAAAGCAGAGAGAACCGTCATGGAGCTGCCAGTGCCAAACATGATGAATCTTCAACAGTAAGTCACTACCACATGGTGATACACAGATTAATAGAAGTGAGTTAAATTAAGATGTGAGAATTAGACAATAAGAAACTAGAGCTAATGGGCCAAGCAGTGTTTTCAAGAATACATTTTCTGTGTGATTTTTTTTTGGATATAAGCTAGCCGAGCGGCAGGGACAAACAAGTGGGCCCCCCATAAAACAGGCAAGGTTTCTGCTCTCTATTTTTTGGAATGATTTGATGAGTATGGTCTTAATGCTTCCTTGAAAGTCTGGTAGAATTCTGCACTAAAACTATCTGGCCATGGATGGTTTTTATTTGTTTGTTTGGTTTTTGGTTGGGAGATTTTTAATGACTTCTTCCATTTCACTAGGGATTAAGGTTTAGATTGATTATCAGATCTTGATTTAACTTTGGGAAATGGTACTTACTAACAAAAGTATTTCTTTTTAGCTTTCCAATTTGGCGGACTACAGGTTTTATTATAAAGTACATCCTTATGATTCTCAGATTTTCTCAGTGTCTGTTGGTATATACTTCTTTTGATTTCTGATTTTGTTTATTTGGATATTCCTTGTGTCTTTTAGTTAGTTTGGATAAAAATTTGTGAATCATAATATTTTTTCCCAAAAAGTCATTCTTTTCTTTCATTGATTTATTGTATTGTTTTCTTGGGTTCTATTTATTGACTTCAACTCTCAATTTGACTGTTTCCTACAATCATCTCCACTTCTTTTTGTTGTACAGTTTTCAAGGGTGCTGTTAAGTTGTTAGTGTGAGCTCTAGATTTTTTTATGTAGGCACTATTACTATGAACTTTCCTCTTAGGACCACACTAATTCTGAACCATGAGTTTGGTTATGTTGTGTATTCAGTTTCATTCAATTCTAAAGTCTTAAATTTCTTTCTGTATTTCTGTCTTTACCCATTTTTAATTCAGTAAAGAGTTGATCAGTTTCCATGAGTTTGTAAGCTTTTCTGTTGCTCCTGTTATTTCTGATATCCAGCTTCAATCTGTGGTGATATAGTCAGATGAAGGGATTTATATCAGTTTTCCTGTATCTATTGAGATTTACTTTGTGTTGGAGTATGTTTTTAATTTTGGACAAAGTTCCATGAGGTGCTAAGTAGAAGAAGGTATATTCTTTGTGTTTGTGTGAAATGTTCTGTAAATATCTATTAGATCCATTTGGTTTATAAGAGAGGTGGGGCGAAGATTCAGTCATGAAGAGAATTATCTTCCACAAGTAGAACAGGGAAGAGAGACAACGAACGGAGCTACTTGTAATCTCTGCCCTTGTATGTCCTAGTCTGTTGCAGAATTACAGTACTAGATCTCTTAACTCTTTATGTCCTGACTTAAACATGAAGAAGTTGTAATGAAAACATAGATAAAAAGAACTCGTCCGTTAGATATGTTTGAGTGACAATTATGAATTTATTTACTGCTTGACACATATTGATTTTCTACTATCAAAATAGGCACTAATTTTGATATTAACACTGTTCCTTGTTGTTTGTAGTTTTTACTTTTATGCCTTTGCTCTTTGCACTTTTGTGGACCAACCACCCAGCTCCCAAAGAAGGGAGGAAGTGGAAATTTTGATTCTTATTATTTATAAAGTAATAAATATTATCAGAGGAACAAAAGAAAAAATAAATAAGACACTGATTTACATATTAGCTTAGGCTTCTTACTAACTAACACTTGTATCTTAAATTAACCCATTTATTTTATGCTGTATGTTGCCACAAGGCTGTGGCTTACTGGGTAAAGTTCTGGCATCTGTCTTCTTTGGCAGCTACATCGCATCTCCCTGACTCTACCTTTTTTATCCCAGCATTAAGTTTAGTTTTCCTGCCAAGCTCTATTCTGCCCTTCCAGAGGACCAAAACAGTTTCTTTATAAATCAATGGTTACAATGCATATTGACAGCATAGAGAGGGGAATCCCACATCATATGTATTCAATGATTAATTTAAAATACAACTGTCCAGCTACTTGGTAGCAAGCAAGTGAAGAAAGAAGGCCTGCTAGTGGCGGACTTGAAGGTGTTGCTTGTTATGGTATCTGACAGTGTTAACATTTATGATCATGTAAAATGTGCCAGGACTCGGAAGTCGATGGAAACTATTCCTGGAGGATGTGGGTGAAGAATATCCAGTCAGCACTGTTGATCACCATTTGCTAATCCTTCTTCTTCTTTGACCTGCTACTTGGGGAAAGGAGATAGTAGATAGCCATTCACAGCATGTATGGCAGTAAGACCCAAGCTTTGTTTTTCATTCTCATTACTGTTTATTTCATTAACTTCTCATATTAATCCACGCTCATGACAGAATTATTTATTTTGTTTATTTCAGTCACCTTTTGTAATAAAACAAGGTAAAATAAAACCACATGAAAATTGAATAGTCACAGGAGGTTAATGGCTGTTGAGTATTTTTTGCATCTTATTATTATTACAAATTTTTACCTCCTCCCCTTACCCCCAATTCTCCTCCCCTTTCCTCTCTAGTCCAAAGAGCAGTCAGGGTTCCCTGCCCTGTGGGAAGTCCAAGGTCCTCCCCCTCTCCATCCAGGTCTAGGAAGGTAAGCATCCAAACAGACTAGGTTCCCACACAACCAGTAGAGGTAGTAGAATCAAAACCCAGGGCCATTGTCCTTCGCTTCCCAGTCAGCCATCCTCGTCAGCCACATTCAGAGAGTCCAGTTTGATTCAAGCTTTACCTGTATATTTATACTGCATGACTAGAGGCTGCCATATGACTTCTAAGAACCATGAAGACATCAGGAGCAGGTAAGCTGCATGTCAAAGAGAAAGGAGATTGCAAATGGCTGTTTTCTTGTACTGTGTCATCAGACTAATGGGCTTCAGAAATCTAGATTTTCATTTTCTAGAAATAAACAAAATAAACATTATAAAATGCAATTAAACAGAAATGAACAGAAACCCACGGGTGTCAAGAAAGTTGTAAATAAATTTATAAAGTTCCTACAACTTCATTTCTACCAAGGGTTTCTGAAAGAGAAGGCCAGGTTAAGCCACTTCTCAGAACTGCAGCACGTCAGAACTTTGCTAGCACTGTGGGTACCTAAGCCTGCGCTCCTTTATTTAAACAAAACCCAGTGCTGAAGAAGAACTGAAGGAACAACCATGACGTGACCATATAACATACTTTCCCAGTCCACTGTGAGCTCAAACTTTTCTAGGAGTCTAACATTGCAGTTTTCTGTTTCTACCTGAAATAATTGCTCTTCTGGGAGAAAACCAATCCTAGGATGAGCAGAATGATCCCCAGAAGGGAAAGTTTCACATAGAGAATGGTCAGCAGGGAATGCAGTGTGCTGGTGACACCTGTAACTACAGGCAAAGGCAAAGGACAAGTCAGTTCAATAATGGTTCTAATAAAGAAATTAAGACAAACACTATAAAATCACTTACAGTATTCCTAAAGTTAGGGAATGTCAAAATCAGACAATCTTTTCAATTAAACTTCAAATACTACTCATATAGTACTATTTCAGGATGAAATTTAGTAACCTAGTCTAGCTTTTGTGATTGATAGGCATTAACAAATATTTTACAGTGAATAGGTGCAAAGTAGTATTGTTAAAACTTCCCAGGTAAATAAGGAAAAAGTTCCCATGTAACTTTATTTTATTTTTGGAAAATGTAATTGCATCATTTCTATCCATTCCTATTCCTTCCTCCAACCTCCCTCTTAAGTTCCTAACTTCTTTATTGTTTTCGTTGCCTATTTTTACATAATATGCAAATGAAATCTGCTTAGTTCATGTTGCTTGAATGTACATGATTTCAGAACTGGCCACTTGATACAGAATAACCAATTAGGGGACCATTTCTGAGGGAAGACTACTTCTCCCCTAGTTATGTGTAATTCTCAGTCTAAGAGTGTCTTAGTTAGGGTCTTCATTGCTTTGAAGAGACAACCTGAACACAAAACTTTTATAAAGACAACATTTAATTAGAGCGGTTTGTTTACTGTTTCAGAAGTTTGGTCCATTTTCATCATGACAGGGTGCATGGCAGCATGCAGGTAGATGTGGTGCTGGGGCTGAGAGTCCTACATCTTGCAAGCAACAGTAAGTCAAATGCCTCACTGAGTGGTTCCTGAGCATAGGAAACCTCAAAGTCCACCCCCACAGTGACACACTTCCTCCAAGAAGACCATACTCACTCCAGCATAGCCACACCTTACTATAGTGCTGCTCCCTATGAGATTATGGGAGCCAATTACATTCAAACAAACACAAGGAGTGAGGATCCATGAGATTTACCGCTACCATGTGTGTATATCTACTGATGGTTGACTTGTTGAGGTTTCATGGGTGAAGACTTTCTGTCATTTCCAGGCGGCACAATCTTTTTTAAAAAATGTTTTTATTATCGATTCATTCATTGATTGTTTCATTTTACATACCTGTCACAGTTGCCCTTCCCTCCTCTCCTCCCATTCCCTACTCCCCAGCTCCTCTCTACCTCACCCCAAACCACTCTTTCTCTGTTCCTATTCAGAAAGGGGCAGGCTTCCCATGGGTATCATCAAAGCATCACATATCAAGTTGTCATGAGACTAAGCACCTCCCCTTGGTTTAGGTGGGGCAAGACAATCCAGTGAGGAGAATAGGTTTCTGCAAGCCAGCCAAAGTGATAGGGACAGTCATGCTCCCAGTGTTCTGAGCCCAGCTACATAACTGTCACATATTAGATCAGTCCCATCAGCCTCCCTGGTTGTTGGTTCAGACTCTGTGAGGTTCTATAAGCCAGGATACATGTTTCTGTGGGATTTCTTTGATGTCCTTGGTCCCTCTTGCTTCTAAACTCCTTCCTCCCTCTCTTCAAAAGCATTCCTGACACCCAGCCTATTGTTTGGTTTGGATCTCTATATCTGTCCCCATCAGTTACTGGATGAAGGCTCTCTGATAACAGTTGGAGTAGTCACCAATTTGATCATAGGACATGGTCAGTTCAGGCTATGTATCCACTACTGTTAGCAGTCTTAGTTGGGATCATCCTTGTTGATTCATGGGGTTTTTCCCTGAATCAGGTTTCTGCCTGATTCCCCAAAAGCCACCCTTTCCAGTCATCTTGTTCATTACTCTCAACTTCCACCTACTCCCCAAACCAATCCCTCAAGTTCCCATGCCCACGCAACACCAGTCCATCCACAACATCTCTTCTTTTTCCCCTTTCTAGGGACATCCATGTGTCTCACCTTGGGTCCTTCTTGTTACCTAGTCTCTCTGGGTCTGTGCATTGCAGCATGGTTATCCTTGATTTTACAGTTAAAATTCACTTATGAGTGAGTACATACCTTGTTTCTTTTTCTAGGTCTGGATGACATTTCTCAGAATGAATTTTTTCGTAGTTCGATCCATTTACCTTCAAATTTCTTATTCCTCATTGTTTTTAACAGATGAGTAATACTCCATTGTGCAAATGTACCACATTTGCTTTATCCATTATATTGTTGAGGGACATCTAGGTTGTTTCCAGTTGCTGTCTATTACAAATAATGCTGCTACAAACATAGCTGGGCAAGTGTTTCTGGCATGATTGAGCATCCTTTGGGTATATGCCCAGGAGTAATACAGCTGGATCTAGAAGTAGATTAATTCCTAGGTTTCTGAGAAACTGTCAAAATGGCTGCTTATGTTTACACTCCCACCAGCAATGATGATGTATCCCCCTTACTCCATATCCTCTCCAGCACAAGCAGTTATTTCTGTTTTTGATCTTAGCCATTCTGACAGGTGCAAGATGGAATTTCAGTATCAGTTTGACTTGCACTTCTCTATGACTAAGAATATTAATATTAATTCTGGTGAGAATTTTCTGTTTGTCTGTACCTCATTTTTTTAAAAAAAATCAATTATTTGGTTTGTTTTTGTCTAGTTTCTTGAGTTCTCTATATATTTTGGAGATCAGGTCTCTGTAACATGTGGGGTTGTTGAAGATCTTTTCCCATTTTATAAGCTGCTGTTTTGTCTTATTTACAGTGTCCTTTGCCTTATAGAGCTTTTCAGTTTCAGGAGGTCCCATTTATTAATTGTCAACCTTAGCGTCTGTGCTCTATTCAGAAAGTTGAGGAGACACAATCTTATAGTAGATTTCCTGGTCCTATGGTTCTTTTAATGTTTTCCCCCTCCTTCTATAGTATTTCTTGAGCATTAGGTATAGGAATTTTGTAGTATATGTATCCATGGGACTGGACATCCTATGATTACTGTTCTCTTAATTTTGACCATCTGTGACTTTCTATAATGGTTTCTCTGTATTACAAAGAAAAGCTTCTTTGGTAATAGTTAACAGCCACACTTATTAGTGGTCATAAGGGTATTTTGAGTTGAGATAAGCATTCCTCGGGTTTAATGAAGGGCTGTAAGTACATTCACCTCCAAGTTCAATGACCTCACTTACCTTGAATAATTGGCAAGTTTTCCAATACTAGGCATGATCTTCCTCTTATTGAGTCAGCCTTAAATTGGACAGCTTTGGTTTGCTGCCAAGATGTGGTTACCACTACTGAACCTTAGGGACCAGCCGTGCTGGTAATTGTTGAGGTTTACAATCTCCAAAGCCAGGTGGTACTACCGAGTGCTTCCCTTTTGGGGCATCTTACAGATCACTTTGGTGACTTTGAAAGTTAGTATTCAGGGAGGAGATTTTCGGGTCAAATCCAGCTTAGATCCTCTGAGTTCTCTGGCTAAAGAACATCCCGTGCAAATTTTAGACTTTTGAAAGGTATTGTTCTTTTTTATTTCAAAAAGGGTTTGAGAATTTCATACAATGTATCTTGATCATATTCACCTACAGTTCCTTCTCCTACCTCCTACCAGATCTACACCCTGCTTTGTTACCCCAACAACTTTTCACCTTTGTTTTTATAACCCACTGGCTTCAGTTTATGTTGCCCATATCCTCCTGGATAGGAGCCTGTGAAGAAAAACAGCCTTAAAGATAACTGACTCTCTCTCCTCAAGATACTGTTAATTGTCCCTAGTTCCTCATTTGTCAGTGCAGAGACTCGGGAACCCTTTTCCACTCAATGATAAATTTTGATGGGCTTCATTTTGTGCAGGAAACTGCATTCCTGGAAGTTTGTGAGCTTAGATACCCTGCCTGTCATGTCTAGAAGTCACTTCCTCTGACCTCTGACCTCTGAATTTACAAAAAGGGTTTCTCCATAGCTTTAAATTCTGTTGTTTTTTTTTCTTGACCAGTTAAGAGTTTCTGCTTTATCCCAACACCACCTATTAAAGATGATATTGTTATAATTTTAAAAGTGGCGTGAAAAAGACACCATAACACAGAACTCAGGTGGAGGTAATTTTATTAACGGAACATAAAAAGGGGAAGGGGAAGTGGGGCAGGCCTCAGGGACAGGAGCAGCAGAAGAGAAGTGAGAGGATGCGGTGAGAAACAGAAAGACAGGGAAAGGAGAAGGAGGAGGAGGAGGAGGAGGAGGAGGAGGAGGAGGAGGAGGAGAGAGAAGAATAGATGGACAGAGAGGAGAGGTAGATAAAGCACTCTGCATCCTAAAGTCTGTGAACCATTCATTCTACCAAATCACAGATCCTGATACACAGTTTATGAAAACATCCTGACTTTATATCTAGTTGATAAGAACTGCAGGTGATAACTGAAAACTTGTGACTACTGTCTGAAGTGGATCTATTTGACAAAGGCTAGTCCTACCCAAGAGGCCAGAACACTATGGGTGGCCCCACTCCCTGGGCAGGTGAGATAGTAGCACAGATCTGAGGAGCGCCATGGTTCCTGCTTGAGTTGTCCTGAATTTCCTCTCCCCTCCTCTAAGTGGTTTTGGCCACAGTATTTGTCACAAACAGAATGAAATTAGAACACTTGTCTTTCATGAAAGAATAAGTTAAATATCAAGTATTTATTCTTAAAAAAGGGGTGATACTGACCTTGATTCAGTTCTATGGACAGAGTCTGGTTGCCAGTTGGATGGGAGACAAAGCAGAACACAGCAGACACATTGTTCTGCTCCCAGAAGTATGTGCTCCTAACAGTCACAGGACCATTGCTGTGTGATTTCTTCTTAGTGACATGATCCCCATCTGGAATCCAAAAGATCTGCGCAGCCGGCTTGCCTGCAGTTGCCTCACAAACTGCTGTTCTGTTTTCCCCTGGAAGCAGGGATACTGCTGGAGGCACTGTGGAGATGGAAGGGAAAAAAATTCAGTCTTGTTCCAAATTACAAAGGCGTCTGATTCTATCTACAATCTGGTGACCTGAAATAGCACGATATGTGACCATGTCACTTACCTAGCACTTGGAGGTCATGTCTCCTTAGGAAATTCCCCTGCAGTGTTGCTATTTCACATGAATAAAGCCCATCATGACCGAGGGCCACTGCATTGATCTGAAGGTCAGGACTCTGATCAGGTGTGGATGCCCAGGTGATTCTCTTGTCTGTACAGTTGGTTTCATCGATCTCCTTTATTTCTGCTATGTATAATATTCTGCAGGGAGGCTGGCCTCTGGGGGCTATGACCCATGCTATTAATACTGTTTTTGTCATTGGAATAGCAGGGCAGCCCAGCAGAGCCTTTGCACCCATCTGTACCAACAGTGTAGTGTTAACTGGACCCACACACAAAGAACGATAAAAGGAAACCTGTGTTAAGTCTGTCCACAACACTGTACATGAAGTTACACTAGAACACTGCTTGACTTATGAATGTATTCCAGAAATATTCAACTTTTTTCATATTTCTTGTTTCTTGTATTCAATCTATTAGAATCACATACATTGTTTACTTTCTAAAGTAAAAATTCAAGGCCTGTGGGCTATACACATCTTGTACTATAAAACCTCTCACTGCCTGTATGCTGGCTTAGAGCCCATGATGGATACACATTTGCTGAGTGGTGACTACTCAACAAAATTATCTGTTATAATCACCTGTGACAAAAAAGTCAGTGATGTCACTTTAACAGGAGCAGAAGTTGCTGTGAATGAGCCTTGACTCTGATAAGCATTGTATTAACCATCTCAACTACACCATTTCAATGTCACTTGCCTCTTTGGGTCCTCAGGTCCTCACAAGTCTCATCAAATAAAGGTCATCTAATTAGATGATAAAGGGTTCTTTAGCACAGACTTTGGAGGGCTCTAATCCCATAGCCTTTCTTACTCTGAGACAGCAAAGGTGCAGAGGCCATCATTCAGGTCTCTCCTGCCATAACTCTCACATCACTAGATTCTTCCATTCATCCTAAGTCTCTACAGAAGCCAAAGCATTAGTTACTGTTTCTAAGCAAAGTTAACTCTCCATTCCTTCAGTGCTGGCCACAAGGTAAAGAAGAACAGTACCTTCTGCCTCAGGTAATGAACCATTCTGTGATGTTTGATTCCCATTCATACCACTTGACTCTAGAAAATATTTAAATAAGAATGTTTAAATGTTTAAAACATTGCAAGGCAATAATTAGAAGTTTAATCATCACTGATATGTGAACACCTTGGAAATTACATTTTTAAGATATTAGTCCATTATTTTCCATTTATGAATGACCATATTTTATCAAATAGTTTATAGAGTAACCCCGCTTTCCTTCTTCCAGCTCCTTGCTGGGTCCAGTGTAGGCATACCACATAAGATATCTTGGTTAAACTCCTTCCTCCAGATGTCATCCCCTAATTAAAGCCATAGTTCTGACCACAAGATAAAGAAGAATAGTACCTTATGTCATGGGTAATAAACAACTCACTGGATTCTAATCCATACCTTAATATCTTGACTCTAAACAACTGTTAAGTAAGAGTTTAAAATATTTAAATGACTATAAAATAGTAATTAGTAGTTGTCTCATCATATGTCAACATCTTTCTCAACATCTTTAAAATAGTTTTATTACATACTAATCAGTTATTTCCCTTTTATGAGTACCCTTATTTTGTTAAATAGTTTGTAAAGTAACCCTACTTTCCTTCTTCCAACTCCTTGCCAGGTAGGTATAATGCATGAGCTGACTTGACTAAACTCCTTTCTCCAGACGGAGAATTGGGGGATATTCAATCACCATTTGAACCTTAAGTTTGAATTTGCATTGATTAAATAAAATGAACTATGGTTCAAGAGACTGAGTTAGCAACTAGTTTACAGAAAGTAATCATAGAGCATCAGAGGTCATCCAGGAGAGATAGGGAAACACAGGAAGTAGTAGGGAGGGGCTTGGAGTGACACAGCTTTTTTTGTTTTGTTTTGGAAGAACAGGACTGGGGTTTATTGGAGACACCAGCAAGAAGAGGTGATTTAGTTGTTACTCTGAGCTACAGGTTTTCAACTCAGCCTTTAAATCTTGAGTCTTATTTATAAGCAGAATGGTAGAGATTTAGTTAAAGCTACCTTTAGTGGCAGTGAGAGACCAGTGACTGCAAGAACAGAAGTTCTGCCAGGCTGCCACCCTACTGTCCGCTGATGGAGATGCAGGCTGGTAACTGCGGAGTAACAATTGTTGGCTAAAATAGCAGTTGATAAAGGTGCAGACACAGGGTCGAAATTTAACCAACATTTGGTGCTCCAATGTGTGGCAGGATCACAGGGACAGAGAAGTCATGCCAGCTGGATCTGTGGCAATTTGCTGTCTGGGCCTCTCAGCATGAGCACTCACAATAGTCATCTGCCATTTGCCAGGACTCTGGGAAAGGAGGCTCCTGCTTGGGAATTGTGGGAGGGACTTGAGTTCACCGTCCAACAACAATCACAAACAGTGAGAAGTCAGCAGATTTAGTGAGATACCTGGGAAGTTTTTTAAGGCAAAGTTAAATAATATTTAAAAGAAAAGTATTTTCCATGTTAAGAATGTGGGCTATCACAATGCAGGGCACTAGGACCCTGCATAGTATTATCATGGATGATTTGAAATTGGAAAATTTAAATGAAGGGATAAACTTTTTAGCAGGAGGGACCTAACATCAATTGTAATTACTATCAATTTGGTAATTAGTATTTTATCCTTAAAAAAGTAGGTGATTGATCACTATGCCAATATGATAATTTGATTGATAAGATATAAGCATAAGAAAGACTAATTATTGATAAGATACAAGCTTTATAAATACTTACTTTAAGATATAAGCTTTAGACAGACGTAGCTATAAATAAGAAAAATTTTGCTGCTAGGATACAAGTCTTAGAATGACTTACTATTGAAAAGATATGTGTTTTTAAAACCCTACTAATGAAAAAAGAAAACACGCAGACAAAGACAGAGGAATTTAGAGAAGAACCTACTGCACCATTTCATTATGAAACTGAAGAGGAGTTGCCTAAGGTTACTAGAACATCAACCTTAATTTAACCTGTCATCATACCGGAATGGTCACCAGATGATAGGTACCCCCAAGGCTATACAGAACTTGATTGGAATCTTGTAGAAATGTTAGATTTAAGGAAGAGATTTATGGAAGCTTTCATTTCTTATGGTATGTGTTCACTTTTTGAGAAATGGATGCTAAATTCATACCCAACTAGGAATACAATTATTCTATAAGACTGGAAAGATTTAATTAGAGCAGTCCTGGAAATTGGTCCACAGTTACAATGGAGAACATGGTGGAGAGAAGAAGCTAAGAACATAGAAAAATGAGGTAGGGAGAGAGGAAATAAGATTTCCCAAGATCAGCTTCTCAGTTGGACCCAGTTTGCTGATTTGCAAAATCAGTCTGTATTAGATTGTAACATCATGGTTCCATGCCATATATCAGCTTTGAATGATTGGGACAGGGTTGAAGAATTATGAAAAGGATTGATTTATTTACTCAACTTATACGAGACCCAAAACAAGCCTTCATTTTTTTTTACAAAGACTGACTTCAGCTGTAAATAGAATGATATCAGATCCTGATGTTAGACAAATATTAATTGAATATTTGGCTTTTTAAAGTGCTAATTCATAATGCAAAAGGGTCATTAGGCTTTTGAAAGCAAGATCAGTGCCCCTAGAGGAAAGGATCCAAAATACAGCTGATATTGAATATCATGTTATGATGATATTTGGATAGAAGAGGTGATTTCTAACAATTTTAAGAAACATTATAAGGTCATATAATTTAATTGTGGTAAAGTAGGGATTGTAGGCAAGGTGTTCCTAGAAATAAGGTTATTTCAAGAGATAATCCAAACAGAAGTCCCCAGCCTTCTGGAGTATGCATAATGCATAACAAAGGCCAGAATTGGACTAATGAATGCAGATCCACAAGTGTCAGGCAAAGAAACCCTTTGCCATCAGGAAATGCATTAGGGAACCTCTTGCAGGCAGCAATGTTAAATCTGGTTCAATCATTCCCAGTCAGAATTGGGGAAATTCCTCCACAGAGCATTTAAAAGACTTGATACATATTGGTAAAAGCTATACTGCTCTGGATGGATGACAGAACAGTTTCAGGAAGACCAAAATACAAGTATTTTGGCAAACTTCTAAAACTGATCAAAGACTAAAGCTAAAAATACAAATTAAATAGCACTGAAATTGAGAGTTTGGTAGAAATGGTACAGATGTAGCAATGATTCCACCAAAATCTTGGCATCCAAATTGGCCTCTTCAGGTAAATGTTCAATTTCTAGGAACTGGACCTTTACCTCATGCAAAACAAAGTGAAGATGGGTTAGTGTATAGGTACGGAAGGACAGATAGGAAAATTAAAACCATACGTAGCTACCATAGCAATGAATTTATGGTGACATAATTTGTAGCAACAATGGAAAACACATATTAACATTCTTCTCCAATCTTGGAAACAAACCATAAATTAGCAAAAGTTTCTGAGAAAAATTAAAAGGTACTATCAAAAAGAGTCACAGACTGTTTAGGTTTATGTAAGCAGGGCATACCAGCTGCTGATCTTTTTACTAACAGCCCAACCTTTAAAATGGTTATATGACAAACCTGTATGGGTGGAACAATGGCCTTTGACATCAGAAAAAAATACAGACATTAGAACAGTTGGTATACAAGAGCAGTTAAATGCTCAACATATTGAAAAATTGAATAGTTGTTGGAATTCTCCTATATTTTTTATTAAAAGGAAATCTGAATATGCAAGAATGTTAACAGATGTAAGAGTCATAAATAAGATAATTCAGCCAGTGGGCTCTTTACAGCCCGAAATTCCCTTTCCCTCATTATTTCCTAAGGGATGGTCTATTATGCTGATTGATTAAGAGAGCTGCTTTTTCACTATACTTTTCAAGAACAAGACAAAGAAAACATTGCCTTCACAGTGCCTACTTAAAATTCCCAGTCTTTTTAAAGGTACCATTTGAAAGATTCTTCCATAAGGAATGTTAAAGAGTCTCACTAATGTCAATATTTTGAACAACAGCCATTAGAACTAATTCATAAACATTTTTTTCAATCTATAATTTGCCCTTCCATTAATGAATCTTATTGACTGATACAGACACGGATACTTTAGGAAAAATGTTTGGTGAAGAAAATTTTGCCTTGTAGGGATTACAAACTGCTCCTGAAAAAAAAAAAACACAAAGAAGAGAATCTGTTAAGTATTCAGTACATTAGATAGGTTTACATAAAATTCATCCACAAGAAGTACAAACCAGAAAAGATCAATTACAAACTCTTAAAGATTTTCAAAAATTTCCGTGACATATAACTGGCTATGGCCCACATTTGGATTAACAACTCAAAAACTAATAAAGTTATTTCAAATCTTATGAGGTAGTAAGTGTAATGATCTCTTCTGTCTCTTTAAGAGACAAGTCATGCCCACTTCCTCCCTGAGTCTCTTCTTCTCCATCTTCCTCTCAAAGAAGCAGCTTCTGCCTCTCCCCACTTCTCCCCTTCCCCTTTCTGCCTCTCCCTTCTTTTTTCTCTCTCTCCTCTCTCTCTCTCTCTCCATTCCCCTCTCTTTCTTTCTCTCCCTTTCTCCCTCTCTGCTCTTCTCCCCTCATCCCTTACCCCTCCATAAGCCACTATGGTGTAGGAGGGTCATCTGTCTATGTGTTACTTTCATTGGTTAATAAAGAAACTGCCTTGGCCTTTTGATAGGCCAGACCTTAGGTGGGTGGAGTAGACAGAACAGAATTCTTGGAGGAAGAAAGCAGAGTCAGGCAGATGCCATGATTCTCCAACCTGAGACGGACGTAGGATAGAATCTTCCTGGTAAGCCACGGCATCGTGTTAAACACAGATTAATAGAAATGGGTTAATCAAGATGTGAGAGTTAGCCAGTAAAAGGCTAGAACTAATGGGCCAGGCAGTGTTTAAATGAATACAATTTGTGTGTTGCTATTTCAGTGTAAAGCTAGCCATGTGGGAGCCCGTCGAGACGAAAAGCAGGCCTGCTTGCCTCATCACAACACCCACTAAATAAATATCCAACCTTACCCTGCATGGCATGCCTATCCA